TTTTTGTTTTACTTTATTTTTATTTCATTGGATTGGGCAGAATTTGACAGGAAGTCCACTTGTAATTGACACAATTAAAATATAATTGAAGTGAAAACAAATTCAAATTATTGAAAGGATTATTTCCTAATTACAATATGTATATAATTACAATTTCTTAAGCACAATTAAGAAAGAAGTATTTATACATTGGTAAACAAATATTAAATTTATTTTATATTCTTTTTGTTTTACTTTATTTTTATTTCATTGGATTGGGCAGAATTTGACAGGAAGTCCACTTGTAATTGACACAATTAAAATATAATTGAAGTGAAAACAAATTCAAATTATTGAAAGGATTATTTCCTAATTACAATATGTATATAATTACAATTTCTTAAGCACAATTAAGAAAGAAGTATTTATACATTGGTAATGTTTGTTTCATAGCATATATTCCTTTGAGTACCATGATTAATGCTCATTTTTAAGCATACTAAAATTTCACATTTATTATAAATTTATTTAGTTTGCTTTTCTTTCCAATAATAACAATGTAGTTTGTAGCGAAGCTTTATTAATTGTGCTTAAAACTCTTTGGAAACTCATATTTAGTCTGCCTTATTCCCCTTTGCTTCTAATAACATTTAAAAAATAAAAATAATTTGTTTCTTCTTTTGCTTTAAAATGTTTATCATCTCATGTACACCAGATTTATTGGACTGTGGTAGTTTTGAGTGGCTTTTGGCTGGAGTGTTTATTATGACATCATTGTGATCTGTATGCAGGTTGTGATTTCAGATGGTTTCAGTGTTAAATATTTTCATAATTATGCTACTTTTGGCAGTTCACTTGGCTTTTTTTTTTTTTTACATCTCCTTAATGAATGTGTTTTACTTCTGGGCTTTTGAGGCAAACCCATGTTTCAAAAATTAATAGTGTGCTTTTAATGTGTTAACATTGTGCAGAAGTATACGACTAGACTTTTTAAGAATAAAGCTTGAATTAAAAGTAATTATTGTTAGTTTGTTCATAGTAGTAGTATTCTTTGAGTATTTAAGGTCTAAACCATACTCTCAAATAACAAGATGTCATCTTAAAGATTGAATTTGTGAAGTTGTTTGGTGGAATGAAACACTGTGGTGATATTATGCAGTAGCTTAAAAAGAACAAAAGTTTGTAAAGACTGTCTTTGTTGTTTATGATATCAAGTATTTTACTTTTTGCTTATATGAAGTTTCAGTTTTTCCTTAATGTGTAACCAATACCTGAAATTATGCTGTATTTTAAAAGATTCATATTTTATTAGTTATGTGTTGTTATTAAATAAGAAATTTCCCTTTTTTGTGCATGTATGTGTAGTGTATATGCATGCATGAATGTATGGGTGTTCACACGTGTATGGGCTTGTGTGGGTGGGTGTGCTTAATGAGTGTTTGCATGTGGAGTCTAGATGTTTATGTTAGGTGTCTTCCTTGGTTGTTGTCCCTTTTATTTACTGAGGCAAGGTTTGTTGCTGAACCTGGAACTTGCAGATTCAGATAGCTCTAACTGTCCATCTTGCCTGGTGATCAGGTTTCTGTTTCTTGAGCACTAGGATTACAGGTGGGCTGTCATGCCTGGTTTTCGTGGAGGTTCTGGGTACGAAAACTGCCCTTCTACTTATGTGGTAAGTGCTTTAGCCACTGACCCATCTTCCCAGTCCAAAAATTTTTTTTTTGTCAAAAGAGGTCTTTATCACATGTTTTATTTGCTTCTAGTACCTATCAAATTGACAAATTTAGTAATTCTTTTATTTGCTTTAAATTATTTTTGTGACCAAAATAGAAAAACTAAATTTCTTTCTATTATTGTAAATGTTATAGTTATAATTGAGTAGTCAATTGAGGTGCATTAATCCTGTGTTGGTGTCTCTTTTTTTTACAGCACATTAGCATGTTTCCTTCAAATTAAAATGTGCTCCTTTTATCCTTAAAAAGAGAATAATAAGTTACCAGTTGTATTTACCTCATATTACTGTGTCTGCTTTTTCTTCCAAAACCTGCTTTTTCCTTCTCTACATTTATTTATTTGTTTGTTTATTTGTGTGTATATGTATGCTACGGTACACATGTGGAGGTCAGAGGACAGCTTGGGGGAGTTGGTTCTCTATTTAGATTACCCGACTTGATAGCAAGTACCTTTACCTGTTAAGTTTATCTTGTGGGACCTAACCCCTGTTTTCTTGAAAGTGCAGCCAAACTAACTGCACTTTAACTTCTCATTCACACTGTGCTACTCCTTTGTAATTCTCATTCTTGTCCTTCTACTGGAGCTACTTGGTCTCCTTTCTTGTAGATTCCTACAACCCCCTGCTAATCACCACATTCTGAAGCAGTTAAACTAGAATGAAGATTGAGCACGTTACAGGTCTTCTTACTCTATTTTATTCAAACCAATGTATGCCTTTAACTTCTGGGGTGGTTCTTCCATTTCAACTTTGTACATTCTGCCCTTATTTGGCTAACCATCATTCCTTGTAATTTGCCACATACATTATGTGATTTTGATTTTGCTAATGGTTCCCCTTGCCCTTCCCTCTTCCTTTAGTCTCCAGTCTTTTCCTAAACATTCCTGTATTTTTCCTCTCAGTACTGGAGATTGAACCCCAGGCCTTGTGGCAAGTGTTCTACCTGTGAGGTACATTCCCCAGCTCTCCACATTGTGTTTTAAGGGCCCAACTTACCTAGCTTTGCCAAATAGAATAACTGTGTTCCTGTTACTTAAAGACAAACACCCTGCTTGGAACTACCTATGTATGCTTTTGATAGATTTTAGAAATATTTGAGGACAAGATAGGCATTGTAACTATTTAGACATATAAGTGTTGTATAAATATTGATTCAGGTCATGGAAATAATACCAATTTGCATTTTATAAATAATAGGATAAATCTAAAAAAAAACACATAACTTAAGTTTCTATGTTATTCATATCAAAATCCCTGTAAACTTTGTATTTAATATGAGCAACGATTTAATAAACATTGTTAAATAGGATACAAAGTATTGTAAGAAGATTAATCATAAATTATTTTAAGATAGCTAAGTTGATAGCTTGAATTTTAAATGATGAGGATTTTAGCATATAAACCAAATTTCCCTTTCCATTTATTTTGTGTTTTGATATGGAAATTACTTAAAAGCTTTCATTAAACAGCCTTTTATTTTTCCATCATAACTAAGAACTCTTTGGATATTGTCAAATAAATTATTTTGATAATTTAGCTTTAAACGTGTGTGTGTATGCATGCACAAGCCGACCTGTGCACTGTGGCTTAGAGGAGGCTATCACATGTTCCTTTCTCATCACTCTTTTCCTTATTTCTTTGAGGCAGAGTCTCTTGCTAAGCCTGGAGTTCATGTGTTTTGGCTGGGCTGCCAGTCAGGGAGCCCCAGTGATCCTCTTGTTTTTGCCTTCCTCTGCACCAGAGTTAGAGGTGTGTGCTTGTTACGTGGATGTTGGGATCTGAACTCTGGTCCTCAAGCTTGTGTAGCAAGTACTATTAGCTGCTGAGCCATTTCTCTAACCCTTACATAGTTATTTTTAACTGCTCTTTGCTAATGAAAATTTTAAAATTGGTTATATAGTTATTGGTTATAAAATTGGTTATATAGTTATAATTATCTTCTACCTGAAAATATTAAAACTCTATCTAATAATCAGAAATTAATGTGTTGAACAAAATTTCCTAGGCCTTGGATGTGATTGATATTTTTCTTTTTCCTTTAAAATAAAAATAGGATGACCATGAAAGTTGTGGTTCGAATTCTACCAACCGTAGCACTACTGAGAACACAAAATCATCCATAAAACCCCGAAGAATTCAGCAGGCTGCTCCTACAGATCCTGACCTACCACCAGGTAATATCTAATGAGTTCTGTACTGTCAAAATTTCAGTTGTTACTGATCATGTATTAGTCTTTTGCAGGATATACATTTTCAGTTTTCTTTATTGTCATAAAACTTTTAGGCCATATGCATATGCGCCTTGCTGCATGACTTCAGAGCATGTTGGATCCAGAGCCCTCACAAATGGCCTCCAGTCAGATTTTGATCCTTTCTTTGCAGGACATTAGTCTGAGCTGCTTTCATATAGATTCTCTCAGCAGAAGCTCATGATGTCTTTGTTCCCAATTTGTGCTAATTATTGAGAAAAGGCACTGGACTGCTCTGAGTTTTGGGGCACTCTAAAAGTCACTAATGAAATTTCAGAATATTGTAACTGGAAGAGACTTAGCTATCACCTCTTTTATTTTCTGATGTCTTTATTTACTTGAGATGGTAGTAACTTACAAACACTTCTTTGGCAAATATTTAATGAAGAAATAAAAGATTATTGCACACCAGCTCTGTGATCAATATGCATTGCTGCTCTTTTACCACTAAGTTGCTTGTCAGTCATAGCTCCTTTATTTTTTATTTATTTATTTTGAATTAGTCACCCTTTTTAATGAGACGTAGCAAAGATTAGTATATATTTAGTTAGGTTTGTGGGTTTTCTGTTGGTTTTAATCTAGCTTTTTTGGCAATTTCAGGCAATGTCTGTTGTCAGAGGCTAGAGTTAGGTCTATCATTTTGCAGTCCCACCTCCTTCAAATATGCATTCAAAGCCACTAGTGCCCTTGAAGTTAGCATCCTTAGCCAGTGTTGTAGTCAGGTAGTGCTGACACTTTATATGCCTAACTGTACCTAACAAAGGTGGTAATCCATCTGGCTTTTGGGTAGATTAGTTAGTTGCTTTAAGCCAGAGAAGATACCAGAAGATATTTCTAAATGTTTCCAATTCTGCTAATTGTGATGGTTCTAGAAATTACTCAACTTTTTCTTACTAATTAACTCCTTTGGAAAAATTCCTGGGGAATTAAGTTAAATTGTAAATTAAATTAAACTGGTAGCTTATTCTAGCTTATTAAATGTGTAGCTTCTTTATTTCTCTAAATTTGACTGCGTCTCCTCAAATTTTCTAGGAGCCTCACAGTATATAAACTTATCTCTTCTTCTTCTTTCCCACCTCCTCTCCTGTACCATTCTCTCTCTGTCAGTTTAGGTTCATTTTTGTTTCATATTTTGTTTCTCCTAAGAAAAAAACTTAAGAAAAATCTGAAGATGTTGTCACTTTTAAATGTCCAGTAGAAACTTTCTGTGGAGTAACCTGCACGTACTCAAAATAGATTCTAGACTTTTGACAACTTTTTAGAGCCAGTTATTAGCATTTAGATTGATAAAATCATGGCAGTTGGCATATTTTTAGTGCCATAAAACAGAATTGTGTTCTGCTTGACGTATGTGATTAACACGGGGTTTTCTCCCTTGCCAATGCTGTTATGGAGTTGCTTTAGGAAGTAACTGGGTCTGTTGGCCAAATACTGGGAATCAGATTTGCTAGGCTTAATTTTGCAAAATGAAGGGAAAACCAGAGGGAATTTGAGAATCTGATTTGATAAATGGTAATCATTTCATTTAAAGGATAACCTACATAGCTATTTGATAAAACCTTAGCCTTCCCCTAAGACAGATCATATTAGGGTTTTACATGTTAGGGTAAGAAAATTCCTGTTTTCAACACTTTCTAGGGCAGGTTACTATTTTTTTTCCTTGTATAATTTTGAAGTTTGAGCATTTATATGGACTCAAATGATTTATGAGAAAAATTTTGATCTTGTTACTAGTTAGGCATTTGTTTTATTCTTTTTTTTAAATCATTATTTAAAAAAAATTTTAATAATTACTTGATTAGAAGAAGCACTTCATTACAGCTTTAATATGTTCAGTAACAACACTCCAGAGCAAGAATACATCTCTCACAAGTGGCTGTAAGTTTCTAGGATGACAGATGAATTAATACAGTTATACAATATTGAACTCAGTAAAGCCCTGTAAGACATAAAATTGAATCAGTTTTTAACCTTTCAAAAAGATCTCCATTTCATTTTAGAATATATTGTTCCTTGCAGAAAGACTCATTGTTTTTGCTACTAACACTGAGATGTTGCCACATGCATCTCTAATCTGTATGTATCTGATTATTACTAGTCATAATTGGTTGCACTCAGATCCTTGGCTCCTGTGTATGTCTAGAAAGTCATCAAGTAGATTTCAATGGGAATGTTTTATTACCTCTGCTAATTAACATGACATAAATTTCCATGCTTCCTCCTCAGATATAATTAAAAATTTGTTGATTTTTTTTTTGTGTGTGTGTTTATCACACAGAACATCCCAAACCATCTTATTCAACTATACACCCACTTCCCAGATGGCACCCTCCCATAGCCTCCCTCCCCCCACTAGAGCCTTTATACTCTGATATCCTTGCTACTGTCCGCTATGTTGTCAGCACCCCCAGCCGTTCCACACTACTTGTCCATCTGGTGAATCTAGTCAGCCTATCTAGATGTCTTTGTTTTAAGGAGGTCATCATCTAGCAGCAATCAGTTGTCAATATTCCTTTAGATAAGATTGGGGTGATTTTCCCAGTTCGATGTTGGGTTACTATCTGGGAGACCCTTGGGCCACCCTGGCCAATAACTCAAAGGAAGGTATCACTTGTCTGGCATTGTTTCTTGTTATGTAGCCTTTAACTATACATATGGACTCTTAAGAAATTATATTGTCCCCTTTAAACTTTTGTTATACTTTCCTTTTGGGTGTTTAAGGCCATACAGTTGGCTGAGATAAACCAATTTATTTTTACTCTAAAAGCCATTTGAGGATCTGTTCCTCAGGGGGTCACATGGGCTTGGGAGGAGTCCCCTGGCTCCTTTCTTTTACCAGTTGCGCCTATGTGAAGATAAGTCAAAGGTCCTGCTCAAAGATGGTTGGCTTCGTTTGGAAGCATGGAGGAAATGATTCCTTTGTGTTGACCCTCCTCTTTGAAGACTGGACACTGATTCAAGTCCATCTGGTGTGGTCTTCTCAGCCTCCTTGATCAAGAGGACAGGTGGCCCTCCACAATTACAGGATATTTTGAGAGATGCTCATAGTCCCCTGGAACTAGTCAACCTAGAGGGGCAAGGAGCAAAAACTGTCCTTTATGTCCCTCTGACCAAATTATTATAGGCCTGAAAGTATGTCTGTTAAATATATAAGAAGGTTAGTTCCACCAGTCTGGTACTTTTAATTACTGTGTGTCGTGTAGATAGATCTTGGGCAAAGACCAATTGTTCTCCAATAAACCTTACCTAGACATACCTAGACATACATTTCTTGATCTGCTATGTATAATTCATCAGTAGGTTGATGGAGTAGTATGGTTCCCTCTGGTTTTTAAAACTAGCTAGGCATTATTTATCTCTCGCATATATATCCCCCCATCATGGTTTCCCCAATTAAGGTGCCCCTATTTGCCCCCTTTCCTCCTCAATAATACCTTTCTCCTAATGTCCTACCTCTCTTGAGCTCCTTCTTTCCCCTTTGTCCCCCAGGTTCCTTGTATACCCTTCCCTCCCGCCTCCCTTAAACTAACCCAACTTTTATCCATATCTTCCTATTAACATCTACTGTTTTTCTCTTTCAGGTTCTGTCTTTTCCTTTACCTGTCTGGTTCCTTTCCATTATCCTGGTTCCTGCATTTATCAGAATTTGGTTCTAGGATCCACATATGAGGGAGAACATAGGTTGATTTTTTTTCTGAGTCTGTGTTATTTCACTTAGTATAACAGTTTCTAGTTCATCCATTTATCTGCAAATTTCATGATTTCATCTTTCTTTACTGCTGAGTAAAACACCATTATGTAAATATACCACATTTTCATTATTCACTCGCCAGTTTAGGGACACTTAGGTTGCTTCCATCTCTTAGCTATTGTGAAAAGAGCAAGAACAAGCATGGATGTACAAGTAGCTCTACAATAGGAAGGTTAGCTCTCATAACTTTGGATAGCACTACAGAAGGAGATAAGGGACAACATCAATTGATGGTCCTTCCTGACTTCAAGACCAAATAACTATAAAAATGAATGACACAGCATAAGACATTGGTGCAGTAGTGACACTTTTATTCTTGGGGGCAATAAACAGCTAACTAATTGGACTAAATC